GCGGAAAGTGGTGTAGGGACAAGTGCGCTGCTTACCACGCGCGGTCCGGGATCAAATCCTGGGTCGTGAGTCGCCCGGGCCAACCAAGCCTTCCATCCCTCCGGGGTCGGTTAATTGGTACCAGACTTGTCTGGGAGGATAAAAACACTGACTTGTACATCGGCTGGCCCCCGCAAGTCATTGTATAGGCCACATCGCATTCAAATGCCACTACGAATTCTGAATGGAAGTAGAATGCGCGGCGTATCCCACGGGATTGATCAACGCCGATACTTATCAGTTACTTTATTGAACCATTGCCCAAAACTGTTCGAGTAGTCATTAGCTCTGGCAATATCTTCACTGTATTTCCACATTTGTGACATAATACTGCAGTCACACCACATGAGATACATTGCCGTGACATACGCCCAGTTAAATGTAGATGGTGACGTGAATGTTTAAGGTTCCTCTGGACTTCCTTGGATTAGAAGTGCCTATTGCCTGCACCGACGCTCGATATGTTGATGACTCGGGTACTATCATAGAAGCTACGAAGGTACATGAGGTGAGATGCTCTTGCAATAATGAACTTTTGGGAAGCACCATAGCGATTCGTTATTTTAGCTCCGCCTTTACGATCCTCGTGCACAGCGTCGTCCAGTGAAGAAGATTCCTTTCATGAACGTACCAATAACTGCTGTGAGTAGATGCTATCGGGACAATCACGTACTGGCTGCGAAACACCATCGGCGAGATGGGCCTGTTTGATTTACGTAGTAAGGGTGAGTGAATCAATATCTCACTTACTTCCACTTCTCATGTTGCAAGAACGGTATCCGGTAGCCGAATTGTAGTCGTGTCCCCTTTCAGTCCATCCTGTCTGCAAGTACAAAGGACAGGCAGGAGCGATTCGTTCTATTGATGCACACCCGACTGCCCCCTACGTTGCTACATGCGGTATCGATCGATTTGTTCGCGTGCACGATATCGATACGAGGAAGCTTGCTCATAAGGTTTGTGGAAAGATTTTGGCCAATTTGATAGGAGAAATGTTATGCTTACAGATTTACTGCAAAACTCGTCTGAACAGAGTACTGCTTCGATCTGAAATGCCGAGCTTGACAACCGTTGTAGAGGGCAATGACGAAGAGTGGATGGAATTGAAGGTGAACTTCACTCGATCATGAAGTTGGTTATGCAAGGAATGCCGTTTTTACAGAAAGAGATGAACTGCGAAAGCGATTCTGCTTCGGCGAGTGGCTCAGATGATGATGGTCTGTAGATAGGTGCACATGGGAAAGAGGTTTCAATGACAGATTATGGTTCCGGACTGAGCAGCGGACTTTAAGAAAAGCGACATGAGAGAAGGCTTTTGAAGGTCATGCGGTTAGTGATCAGTAGAAACATGACTGCGTGGTTGCTCTTGACATTTGGACGGATAAGACTAAGGTAGAAAGATTGTGAAGCATGAGCCGGCTCCAAAAGCGAAGAGAACTAAGTCGAAGAAAAGAAAGGAAGGGCTCGGAGTGGAAGAGGTAAGATATGAAGAAAATTTAGCCTTATAAAAAGTTTGGTCGAGCTACGGTACGCTATCGTGACCGTAACTCGACTGAATTGGATTAATTAAGGAATCTGTTGAACCGTGTAAAAAGGCCAAGATCGTCAAAGGAGTGAAGCGACACGATGAAATCAAGGAGGAGGTAAGTTTTCTTGTGATCGAAGGTTCAAGGTTTTTTGTGAAACTGAGTTTATCCCGTTGTCTTTCAGGTGGGATCTGATGTGAGAGCCTCGAAAACGCAAAAGGGTTCCGAGGCCGGTAGTGTGCGTTTCTTAAGGAGATGGTGACTGCCTCATAGTTGGTTGGTCTTTGTTTCCGTTAATTTTCAATATTTCTTTTTATCTGCAAATTTCCTCTTAACATGGTGAATCTTCGTTGAGTCTCCAAGGTAAATTAGTTGAGGAAAAGTCTGGATTTAGTCTGGTAACTTGTTTGATAGAAAGAGAGGCCGAAAAAAAGACCTTCATTCTTTTTGATCGAATCTACCTATACATAGGTAGGCGTTTATACATGAATGAAACCGGGACCGAACAAAATATTTTTGAAGGTGCTAGTTTCCAAGAGAAACGCCGACCTTTTCCGCTCCTCTAGCCCAGGTGCTCAAAAACATTGGTTACATGCGCGCATCAAGGTTATCCATTTAAAGACAATGATTACGATGGCTGGAGGGCGTTGCGGTTTAGATGACGTCATTGCATGCATCAGAGGAAGGGCGTCGAAGGTGGTCCCAACCACCCCCTCCAACAGGCTGAGGGTCTAGTCCACAGTGGCGTCATCAGAACCGCACCGCCCTTCATCCATCGGAACCACTACCTTCAAGTCATTGATGGTCTTAGGGCGAAGTGGAGTGTAAATTCAGCCGTAGGGACAGGCGCGTCACTTTTAGAGTTAATGCTTCAATTCCTTTCTGTCAAGAACTCCTCTGTTTTGTATGACGGGTTACTTGAACTTTCCTCTATGGTCCTGCCGAGAGCACAGACAGTTAGAGAACGGCGCCTGGCTCGGCTCCAAATCCCAAGGAAGGAGGTGAGAGCCCTAGGACTAAGCCTTGTAGGGGGAGGGACTCCGAGGTGGGTGAGCCAATTACAGTGTGGCAAAAGTTTGAATGTGTGAGATCACAGTGGTCATGAGCCGCTGATAAGGCGAGAGAGCGCAGACGAGAGCATCGGATTGAGGCGGCTTGAAGGACCGAGTTCAAGTAGTCCGTCGACCGTTTGTATGGACTTTTCAAGAAGATGCATTTCATCAAAGCTGGTATATTTTAATGAGTTTTACATGAATTTCAGAACTACACATCTTCTCGTAACTTCTGTCGATTGGGATTGTTCGACATTAGTGAGATACGTTTCCTTTCAACTTGTATAATCAAGCTTGGCTGTATCCCAAGCTGAAAGCCACGGTGGATTTTGTTGTTGTCCTTGATGTGTTGAAGGCAATGTTGTTGTTGTTGTTTTTTAGTATTCTGTTACTTGTCATTATTAAGTTGTGATGGAGAGGATCTTAGAAATTATTCAATTGTAACTGCCTTGATGATTTGCACTTGAGCAGTTTTTCAAGCTTGCAAGTGATAAAAAAAACACGTCTTACTCACTCTAAATTATTGATTACGTTGTATTTTTGAAATAAATGCTTGAGTGCTGTGTAAGGTACTACAATTAAAGGTAACCGACTTTTAAAACCCAGGTTCCGATTTATGCACCGTCGTAGCCATTTTGGTGCAATTGGGGTTATAGAGGAATTTGCAGGGGTCTACCGATATACAGCCAGTTTTATAGTTCCAGACGAGCTTGGTCCATTCCAAAGGGATCAAAGCCTTGACTGATCTGGGTGGAATTTGACCTGCGAATCGTGTACGTCGTAAGTGGCGCCACTCACCATGATATCAACTCCGTCTGAACAACATGTAACCAAAGGTCGTTGAAATGACCGAAATGGATATCTGGATCGTTGAAAATCCCACTATATGGCGTTTGGTTGATTGACTGATCTGACGAACCATAAAAGTCTGTTATTGGAATATGGTAATATTTGAAAGGTGAAATTATAACCATGAACGTGTACACTGGACATCACGTAATAGTAGATTTATTCCACCCTAAAAAACTCGCACAGTCCGAACATGACTAACAAATACAAGTGGCGTTAATGTATTTTTGGGTAGTACTTGTCTCAGGGCCCCACGATGAAGTCGAAGGTCGAAGAAGGGGAATATATTTAGTAGAGGCGCGGTGGTGGGCCAGCTAAGGATGCGGTACGATGCGCGTTTTGCAGCGAAGGCCATGTGCCAGCGGCCCAAAAGGGCGCCATACCCGCGCCGCTAGCGCTGTGGCTCCGCCCACCGTCTCGCTGTCTGATTCTTGCCTGTTAAGCGAACTAAGCGTTGGGTGGAGGAAGGAGCACTTGATCGAGGTAGCATCATGCAGAAATGCAATGGGAATAGAGTGCGGCGCAATTCTTAGGGTTTCTGGCCATTCTGAGTAGTTATCTTCTTATATCCGTACCACTACCCCGGATCTACGCCTGTTTTCTGATTGGTTGCTTGTCATCGTAGCAAACGTAAATTTAATGTTAGTGGTTACCGCCTAAGTGCTGTTATAGTAAGTTATGATTTTTCATAAAGCACTGCTTTTTTAGAGAACGCCCCGCCCACCGGGGGTGGGTCTCCCTAATTCGATGTGACTTACCAATGCACACCTTACCCACTTTTTGGCCCAGTTTCGAGGTCGTTTTGTCACTGAAATCGAAATCTTGGTCTTCGGTACAGTTCATTTCGACGCACGCCACGCCCTCGCTTAGCTGATGTGTGTTTTGTATTTCGTGAGACCTTGCCCACCCATCCCACACTTGACCCGGTCCCTCCAGGCGGATCCCGAGGAGCTAGGGAATTTCGTGACAGACATACAGACGACAGACGACAGCGACAGACGAAGCGCTTTATAGTAAGTAGGATTAATGACAGGCCCTACTAATTCAGCATAAATTGGACATTACACATTACGAGATTCACCACGAACGGCACCATATTGATAGCTGTAAATCCTTTCACTCTAACACTAAGTCGGTAAAAACGATGTATCGGTTAGAACAGTGGTGTTTAATGCGTGGCGCATTCTTGAAATATATAGCAACACATTTTGCAGTTCCACTCTCAGGTATAAAAATGGAGTAGCTCAATTTATGAGGAAATCTGTCCTTCAAGGCCTCAGTACATAGTTTGACAACTCCCTGAAGCAGTTTAATATCCTTCCCATCGATCGCTCAGCGGCCAAGTCTAATATCAGGTATTATGTGGGAAGAAAAAAGCCTAACAAATAAACAGGATACTGTAAGGCTGAATGCCAACCAAAGCTCTGGATTTCTGTGGACCACACGTGGAGTTCAAGGACAGGTCAAGTTATACGACCTATCCGATCCATAGAGTTTTGCACAACAACAGTCCTGCCGCACCTCTTCATGCCCTGCAGTTCCGATCAATTACTCATAAATTCAACTTCTTTCTATATTTGGCCCTCAAAATAAAGCAGAGTGTAGTTGGGGGGGGGACATGGTGCAGCAGTTTGTCTCGGCAACCAGGAATCATTTTTTTTGCAAAAGGGGAACTCCAAAGGAGGGCAAATTATCTGCTGTGCAAGAAGGGAGTATGGAGCTGAAAATATTCGTCATTGTTTTGAATATCTCAGCTACAAGAGGTCATGTCGCATCCTTCCCCCCCCCCCCCTTCCCCTGACTACCCCCTCTAATTTCGCTTAAGTCATAAGTCGATTTGTGAGACAAGCTCTTTCCATATTGCCTACAATTATCTTAATTTGACCCTTAAATTTATCGTTTTCAATCAGTCCTTCTGTGAGAACTTTATAAAACTTCATTCCGGCTTTTTTACCCTTGCATTTGTAAGCATTTCATTCAGATGATTTTTTGATGTCCTGAAAACCAATCCTCACGAGTTCACTCTTCTTCCACCACAAATGTGCTTAAGGAACTCCGTCTCCTATTCTTTTTCCTTGATAAATTTTCCTGAGCTGCCAAGCCGATCGTCGCTTATTTATTTAATGGCAGAAAAAATTGGAATCTTTCATAATTGATTTTGTTGAGAATTTTCCGCCGATTAGAAACTTTATGGCACGATTCTGCACGCGTTAGGAAGCGGATATTGTGATGGACCTGCACCTGCTACAGTAGGCAAAATAAGGGCTTTGACAATGGGAGTTTGACGCTGCTCAAGGTAGTCTCGTCCGCAAGTTCAGTACGTTTTCTGTGTGCAAGTGTCTACATGCATTCAATTTTGACCAATGTGTTCCACGAAAATTCTCTAGGTCTACCAGAGGTCAGAAAGATTGCTCCTTATTAAGTCGCTACATTGCTTAAGGGCTCAGTATATTCACGGACTTAGGTTCATCTGCGAAATTAGCCTGGTGGTAGAGGTATGCCGTTCAGTGCCGAGCTGAAGCGTGAAGGCCAGAAGTAGGAAACATTTGAAACGGCCGCTGGAAGCGAGGGACATGGACCCTTCGCTTACCCCGATTGACGTTTGCGCCCTTACATGATGCGACTCTCATCGCTGCTACTCTTGTTTTTGCCCTCCAACCCTTTCTTCTTCTTCTCTTCTAGCCGACCGCTTCTCTGCTTTACTATATAGATCCAGCTCGCCACGTGTAGAAACTTTGACGCGCAGGTAGATAGTCGGTGGGCGTTGACCCCGCCGCAACCGCCGCCATAGAGTGAGCCATACTAGGTTCGCAGAAGTTCATCCCTCTCTTGCTGCCAGTGGCGGCGTCGCATTAAACACCTCAGAGATCGTTCGCGCCCTGTCTCTCAAGAAAACAACTGCAATTTTCGCTTCTCTCTTACCTTCGTTCCTTATCGTAAACCTCCTTTAAGGCTTACTTTCTTTGCTTATGCGTCGCTGTTTGTGTCCGTTCGCTGAACCGGAACTTGAGCCAGGTGCAGTAAAAATTACTGATTTATTTTACTTCCATTTCTGTTGTGTTTGCTTATTTTATTTTATTGTACCTAGTGTCAGCTACCTTGCAATGGTTGGGCGCAGTCACAAAAACGTCGTCCATTTCAGTCCCGCCATCGCCACTTCTTATTCAATCTGCAACAGGTCGACCTCGTGGTGGAGCTCATCCTCCGGCTTCCTCCATCCACCTGGACGTTTGCAGTGGACGTTTCGCGTGTAGCCTAAGCTGGTTCCAGTGTGCGAAATGGAGTTTGTCGAACCATGTCGTTCTCTGCCTTGCTCGAGTCCAATTCCAGAATGCAGACCGATAGGTAAGGTAAGAAGCCTAAGGCCTTTTGTTTGTATTTTCCCTGTGAAGGGGACGCTCATTCGCCTTTCAGAAATCCCATTTTCTGGTTTAGTTCTGTCTCCTCCATCTGTGGTAGCCACAGCTTCGCCTCGGAAAACCTCAACAACGACGTCCCCTAGGTACACCGTCGACTCAGCTGCCATCCGACCGCGCTACCAACTCGACCATCAACGCCTCCAACGCAGCCAGCAAAACCCCTCGCGGAACCATCCACGCCACCTGTCAGACGACAACCAGAGCAGGCTCCACCTTCAGTGCCTTCTCAGAAGTCGACTGCTGTGATGGGACGATCTCCTCCATCTAACAGTCTTTCGAGGCCTCAACAGAAGGGAGTATCCACCTCTGCTCTTCTTCCAATTCGCAATACTGCTGAAGTGAAGCCACCACCGCCTCCTTCTGCCAGTATGCAGCAGGGAATTTCTTTTGCGAGGTCTCGCTCTTCGAATGCAGCACCGAGATCATCATCGTCGTCTTCACGTACGAGCAGTCTTCCTTCACGTGTCACTAGCACTTCTGCATCGAATCCATCATCTTCGGGAAGATCATCAACTGCGACCTGCTCCGGTGTGGTGTGTCCATTTGGCAGCGTCTGTCACATTATTGATGGTACTCCACAGTGTGGTTTTGCAAGTAAGTTTTACCAGTTCTTAAATGCGCTTAACACATTGACGACAACGCGAGGGACATACATATATCCCGCGCACTGCAGGCCGTGTCGGACCGGGCGGTAAAATTGCTTTTGAGGTCGATTGCAGCTAGTTCTGAAAAATTTCGCTTTTTCATTGTTATTCCATGTCTTTCGATCGAAATTCCACTACTGTACCCCTGGAGGTTGTGCTCATTACAATTTACTGATCTGGTTTTGTATTGATCATTATTTATGTATTTATCACTCAAAATCTGCTTGAACGACCTGAGGCGGCCGCGCCCGCAAAATCGCCCGGTCCCACGTGGCCAAAAAAGCCAAAACTCGCGTTGTCGTCAACGTGTTAAATTTACCGAACTGTAAAAATCAAACATTATTCAATTTTGAGCAGCCAGGGTAAATCTACTGAGCAGTCGCTTTTATGGAGAAATGTGTCAGAAGAGAGGTCACGAAAGGGTAGGGCTATGTTAAAAGCACACCCACGGTTAGGTCACTGAAGTGAAGCTCAGCCCTAAAAGGCTGGAGCAGTCCTCAAGCACATAGGATGTACCGGCTTCTCGGCACAAAATGGTCAGGTAGAGCCGCTAAGGCTGACCCACGGGGGTCCACCTAGCATTCGGTGTCCCGCCTAGGAAGTAAGCAAACCAGCCCTTTTGGCGTTTCTGCTGGGGCCGTATGCTGAATGTTGGGGAGGGGATGGGGTCCCCGACGGTCGACGGACTACTTCAACTCGGTCCTTAAACCGCCTCAATTTGATGCTTACCTCAGGACTAAGCCTTAAAGAGAGGACGGACCTGCGAGAGAGCGCAGGTCCGAAAACCAGCCCTTTTGGCGGAGCTGCTGGACCAGCTGCACCACTTGCGTCAG